ATTGAGAGAATAATATAGACAGAATGTAAGAGATTTGAGAGAGGATGATTGACTTTTTGTGGAAAAAAATGAAGAAGAATGTGGGTATTTATAGTAGAAAATAGGACCAAAGTATAATTTAATAAACTTAGGGGTTATATTAAAAGTTTAGGGGTAGGGGGTTTCGGAGGGGGGGGGGGGGGGGTGGAGGCCATTTTTGGCTGTTGGGAACGACTATTTCTGCAATTGGAGTCGTTGCCTAACGGCTAGAATTCAAAAAAAAATCGCGGGACAGATGGGACGGGACAAACGGGATGAAATGGCCATCCCGTCCCATCATGTGTCCCGTTTAACACTGGCCCATCCCGTTTAAATGAAGTGAGCCGGGACAGGACAGGACGCGGGACGACCCGTCCCGTTGGATAGCCATAGCAGTCACCAATCCCTTAGCAAGGAGTTGGAGGGAAAGATGAGGAGCTGATGCGGTCAATTAGCAGATGCAGCGAGCTTGAGGGGCTGCTAAGGGCCAAAAAAGATGAACTCGAGGTGGGCAAGGGCGTTGCAGCTGAGTGTGTCGATCTCCAAGCAAAGGTGGTGGCCCTGCGGGTGGAGCTTGATCAGAACGCCACCAGAGTTGCTCAGTTGGGTGTAGAGTGGTCAGAGAAGGTAGCCGAGTTAGAGAATAAGGTGACTGAGTTGGAGAGGGCCGAAGGGGACCGAATGGCAACTTTAGCAAGGGCGGAGGCGTTGGAAGACATTGTCTGCGTTCTCAGGTCCGAGCGAGAGGCTGAGAGAGAGACGATTACACTGAGGGAGGGGCGGCTAGAGGAACGAATCGGCATGCTTAAGCGGGATGTTTCGAACCTGGGTGATCAAGTTGTGGTTCTCGAGGCCGAAAAGGCGCGATTGTTGGCTCAAGCGCCTTCCCAAGTACCTGCCTTTGCTGCCGTCCCCCGCCATTTGTACGAGATAAGGGCTTGTTGGCGGTGTGGGGAGTTTCTGAAGCTGTTTTTGAAGTTGCTCGTGTTAAAGAACGTGAGGCTCGTCTTGCCTACGGCTATGACCCTGCGACACCGGAGGCCGGTGGAGATGTTGAGGTCGAGGATAAGCTTGCTTCCGATGATGACGATGTTGGAGGGGACGATGATGGAGATGAAGCGGTTGGACCGAGCGTGAAGAGAAGTGGTGGCGTGGATAGTGTTGATATTGATTGAAACCTTTGTGCATTTAATTTGTCCTTTTGCATTTAATTTTTTTTTTGTACTTGGTTGGGTGGGTGGGGGCCCTTTTGGCCCTTTGTAAGATGCTTTATCTTTTTTTTTTGAAAGGAATAGTTGGTTCGTCTTTGATTGTATGTTTCTGGCTTTTCCTTTCTTCTCTTTTTTGAGGAAGTCCTTGACTTTTGGTTTGGTTTGAACGAGGTCCTTAATTCACACGGATTCGAATGTAAGTTAACTCGAGCGAGGTCGAATGTAGGCTGATTCGAACGAGGTCGAATGCAGATTAATTCGAATGAGGTTGAATGTAGGCTAATTCGAACGAGGTCGAATGTAGATCAATTCGAACGAGGCCGAATGTAGATCAATTCGAGCGAGGTCGAACATAGATCGATTCGAACAAGGTCGAATGTAGACCAATTCTAGCGAGGTCGAATGTAGGTTAATTTGAACGAGGTCGAATTTTGACTTGTAAGTTCGAGCAAGTTTGAATTTTGCCTTGTAAATTCGAGCAAGGTCTAATTTTATCTTGTAAATTCGAGCAAGGTCAAATTTTTCCTTGTAGATTCGAGCAAGGTCGAATTTTGACTTGTAAATTTAAGCAAGGTCGAATTTTGCCTTGTAGATTCGAGCGAGGTCGAATTTCGCCTTCGTTTGGCGATGGTCGGGGGCCGCATTGGTGTGAAATCGAACGAGGTCGAGTTGTAACCCGTGATGAGTTTGAGCGAGGTCAGACGTTGACTTGTTAGCTCGAACAAGGTCAAATTTTACTTTCGCTTGGCGATGGCCGGGGACTGCATGGGTGTGAATTTGAACGAGATCGAATGGTGACGCGTAATGAGTTCGAGCGAGGTCGAACATTGACTTGTTAGTTCGAACGAGGTCGAATTTAACTTTCGCTTGGCGATGGCTGGGGGTCGCATGGGTGTGTATTCGAACAAGGTCGAATTGTGACCCGTAATGAGTTCAAACGAGGTCGATCGTTGACTTGTTAATTCTAACGAGGTCGAACATATATTTTCTGTGTTGGTGGTGCAAATTCAATGGTGTAAGAATGTCGTACACTGCCTTGCTTTCGTTGGAGAATATCACGTGTTGCTGCATGTTTTATGCGCCTGTTTGGATGAGTCCCAGTCTATCTAATCCCTTCATTGCTCGGCCTAGAAAGGCAGTTGACGGGGCGGGCGATGAACTTATTACTTAGGCTTCGGGACATCCTGGGCCTTGACTGATTCGAACAGGATTCGGATGTAACTCATCGAATTTAGTTGGTTGAGTCGGCGTAATTCCGCTCTAGCGCGTGTGCGAGAGAGCTTCGCGTACTTTATGTAACGTATGTGTTGGAGAGATTTGTACTTTCAGGGTTGGCCGCCCAATCCCAGACTACGGGGATTTTTCTTAATGATGTCGGCATGTTTTGGACCGTTTGCCCGTTATCTGGCAGTATGACATAGTGTGGGGCGTTCTTCCCGATTTGCTGTTTCCCAATAGAACTCAAAGCCTGCATGTAGGCAGTCCCTCGTTCGTGTATTTGGGAGGGCACCCTCGTCTCTTTTTTTTTTTTAAGGAATAACAGGTTAGAAGCAAATGGAATCATTTGTTACCTCGATTGGCTTGTTAGCTGATGAATGAGGGGTGGACCGGTCGCGTTCTCTTCATAGGTATGCTCTCCGCTACTTAGGTCTGGGAAGTCCCTTCTACTCGGTCGGCGGCAAACTGGGGGGCATGTCATGAAACGACTCGTCTTCCTTGTAGTGTTGGCCCCAAATCTGATCTTTACCTCGCGCTTGGCTTTGCCGTTAGTCGAATCTGGGCACTTTCATGGGCTGGTGGATCTCCTCGCCCGTCAGGCGTTTCGAAGAGTTGCACAACAGACGCAACTTATGAGAAGGAATGCGGTGTGCTTAAGATATAAAGCCTCGGATCTACTATCACGGCACGGTGTGGTTTTCGCACATAAATCAGCCATAGCCCTGATCCTATGTGAGGATGTGACCTTGTTTGGTTTAATTTCGCGGGCTTACCTGTAAATTTCTCAAGTCTGCATGTGTCGCGGTAAGTTGAAGCTACCACGAACGGGTAATAGAGCTAAGACCAAGTTTAGATCTAAAGGAAACAAATACTTTGGCTGGAAAATTCCCCACAAACGATGCCAAATTGTTTACCAAAATATTTTCAAATCTTTTGGTAAATTAATGTAAATAATAAGAAGAAGGATAAATTCTAGCCAAAAATAATTAACTCTAGATCAGAAAATGATAAACAAAAGGAGCCAAATGGCTGGACTCAAGGATTTATTATGAACACGTTTGACACCTTTGATATACAATGGAGTAACATACTCGACGACATCAATTCATAGTATAAAGTAAAATAAATATAGAAAAGAAAGGAGTTCACCAATTTGTAGACTAAACTTCTCTTCATTTATGTAACGATAATGGTTACAAATGAACGCATGGTTCTGGGCTCTCCCTCATTTTCGAAGTAGGCTCTTAGGTTTCACCCTGTTATGAGTGATATTTCTGAGATCATTTACCCAACGGTTCTTAACCTGGGTACCTCAATCTTTCGACCATACTTTAGATTAACCCTCTGAAGCGCCATATCATTTACTTCGCCGTGCAGGCTTTCCGAGTGCACGACCTCGACCGTGGTCGAGGTATTCGTCGTCATAGGGCCTCTTAAATACTCCTTTTGCTTTATTGATCCTTCTGTCGCCCCTTTTCGTGCGAAATTTCTCTTGATCAGATTTCGACCCATACAGTATTATTTAGACCTACCGCCAAACATAAGACACCATTTTTTGTCATTTTCCCGAATCAGGGTAATGGAAACATCTGAACAACACAAGCGAACACAGCAAACTTTGGCTGTCTATGTTAATGCTCTTCCTTTATCATAGATACATTATCAATTAACATCTGCACATTATCTCTAGGCAAAGCACTTTAAGTTATGACACAGGCACCGAAATCCACACTCGTCAGCTCATCTGATAACTAGTTGCAAAGATGTTCAAGAAATTGAATTGTCAATCAGAAAGGTTCAGTTTTAACATTCATCTTCTCTAGGAAAAAGAAAGGCAAATTGCTCAGATCTATTTTATTTTTAGACACAGAATTGAAGTATTGAAAACAGTGATCTTTGTTATGGTAAATAGAGTACAGTTGTTATATTGAATTCATTGACCTCTGCTTCACCAATTTCTAACTCCCTATAAGTGGTGGTAATGAGTATAAGCTTAGAACTTAAGGAAGACAAATCACATTAACTGATGGCAGAATTCCGGAGCTCAATAAAGCCTGTATAGTGTATGAGCTACTGAATTGTGCAGAAATAAGACAGAGGGGAGTTACTCAAATGAACAAGTGAAACAAACAAGATAAAATATCCCTTAGAAACTATATTTCAACAATGAACATCTTCAGTCTACTACTACTGATATTGATAACAAATCTTCATTGGGATTCCTAAAAGTCACAAAATCCTGAAACAAGTCATCATTGGCAAAATACAACAACAACCCAGCGTATCCCACAAGTGGGGTCTAGGGAGGGTAGAATGTACGCAGTCTTACCCCTATCTTGGAAGGGCAAGAGACTGTTTCCGATATCACTGGCAAAATGAATCCTCAAAATGCCATCAAAGGATTTTTCAAACCCATTTTTTTTCTTCATGAGAAAGTAAGATACCATAACATTTGGCATGTGCCACAAGGGTAAGCCCAAAAGTAAAAGTAGTAGTAAGTAGTTACATAGAGAAGTTAAAGTTTCACGATTACATGAGCAGCTTATCAAAAACTCAATATAAGGCGACGTTCCTCATATCCTGAGGCAGAAAACTACCAGCAGCCTTGGTAATCTCGCTCCTGGAAGACAAACACAGAATTGGTGGAGGATCTTGGGCAACCTAATAATTCCCCAGCCAATTGAAATAAATATTTAGACACAAAGTTCATTGAACATGTCTTGCACCTTCTCGTCTTTGATATGATAATGAACTTCTCCAGAACAGTCGCTCTCTTTAACAGAAATTCTGAAAGTTTGAAAAGCTTGTCATAGCCCTGTTTGAAATGATCCGCCAAACACCCAAAGGAATTAGTAATCCTAACATTCTTGAGGTTGGGAAATACAAAGCATGCAACCCAACTCTGCAAATCAATATTAGCTCCTTTAGCCAAATATCTTGATTCAAATTGGCACCGAGACTTGTAAAAATACATAGTATGCATGTCTATGTTGAGTGTCTCAACATAAGGGGAGGCTTGCAAAAGGTCAGCTGCTCTGTACAAATTAAACGTTTCCATCTGCAACTCTAGTGTTACATATTTGCATTTCAATTCTGGAATCAGCACACCTTTGAACTGCAACATGCATAGGACCTCTGTGAACCAACTTGCAATTGTTAGATCGGTTGCACAACTCAACTTTTGAAGATAATCTTGGACGAGAATACTAAAAACTTGATGATAGTCCCCACAACTATCTTCCTCATCATCAACTTCTTCACCATGATCGTCCTGGATGTCTTTGATACAGGTAATGTTGAAGGTAAGCCTAGCATTAACCACAGAGGTCACATCTACAAGCCTACACTTGAAATCATCAAGACTTCCTGAAATCTCCAAATGCTGAAGATAGGGAGCAACAATTTCCAAGGACTAATCACTTCCATTGTCACCATAATCTATCAATTTCAGTGTCTTTAATTTTGAAGACCTAATTTCCAGGCGAGTAAAACGCTTACAAGAGTTAAATTCCATAGTTTCTAAAGCAGGACAACCTAACAGTAAGTTCACAATATGGCCATACACTTGAATGGTATGCTCTTTAGTGACTTCCACGATATGACCACGCCAGCGTCAAAGTAACAAAATCCCAAAATTAATGTTATCAACGACGAACAGGTATAGAAAAATTCAGGCAATGGACAGGCATCATCCTCAGAGTATGACCAAAGCACAACATTTTCCACTTTCTTTTCAACAGCAAAACTAAGCCATCTGCTGAGTGCGGACTTGTATTCATTCGGGTCATGGAAGTGGAGCACAAATTCTTTTATTTTAGGAGAAACGGAATGAGCTAATACATAGTCAACAAAGGACACGTATTCTTCATTATAAAGTTCACAATTGAAATAGAAATTATAAAGTGAAGTCCAGAGATAGCGCCATCCTTTCGAGAAAGCATGCGTTATGAATGCCTCCTCTATCGGCATGAGAGAGAGAATGTGATGGAGAAGAGAATCTGGCAACACACTGATTCGGTCTACAGTTGTTGGATCGTTGGAAGCCATCTTTGGTTTTTTGATAAATTTCCAGCGCTTCAAATCCAAATAATACTTCAAAAAAAGAGAATTTTATTACTATATGTCAATGGAACACATACAACACGGTGGATATGCATAGAGAAATCAAAATCAGAGGGAAATTTGAGCAGTCACCAGTAGCCCCTTACAGATTGATTAAGGAAAGATCCAGAACGAACCGCTGAAATTGTATTTCTCCCGCCGGCAGAGAGGTATGACCTGAGTTGAGGATTGTTGCCCTCACAGGAAAGTACTACGACTAGTATTTGATGCAACATATACTTTTAATTTGTGAAAATATGCTTAGTTCTGCTTTTTAGTATTTTATCTAACATTGTAGATAGTAACAAATCAGAGTGGCGCAGCGGAAGCGTGGTGGGCCCATAACCCACAGGTCCCAGGATCGAAACCTGGCTCTGATATTTATTAAGTCAGTGAGCTTCCCTAACTCCATCTTTTTATTGCGTGTTTATTCTTTTTCAATAAAATTTTTTATTCGATCGGACAAGAAGTATTTATTTAAACTTTACTGTAGTTTCTAGAAAATATTAATTTTATTTTAGAATAGTTAAAGAACAAATATATTCATTCACATCGAAAATTAGATATTTTCTGCGTCATACTCCAAGTCCCCTTTTCTTTTGGCACGAATGAACAAGTTGTCATTTATTATGAAGCAAGTTAAAGAATTATAGTTTTGCTCAAGTGAAATAATTTTCCATTACTTTTATCTATGGAGATGATATTCCCCCAGAAAAGAAAAGAACTAAAAGAACAAGTTTCTCTTTTATGATTTCTGTTTTAATAGATAGAGATTCCGTAATCTAAGTTTTCACCTTTTTTTACATCCCATGAAATTTAAAAATCATATCCAAAATTCACATCCTTGTATTTTTGCAAGAAATTGAATGAAAAAAAAAAAACCAAATTATGAATCAGAATATAAGTGATAATTTCAAATTTTACCCCTTTCTCTCGTAAAAACAACCTATCTAAAGTTATAGTTTCGTAATTCGAATCACAATTTCCCTTACAAAAACTGTATTGCCTCAAGTTACCAGAAACACTTATAATCCTAAACTTCACAAACTAAGTGAGCGTTTCGACATAAGAATTGTAAAATTTCAAAAAAAGTGAATTTTTTTTAAGTGAAAATGGTATTTGAAAATTAGAATTGTGTTTGGACATGAATATAATTTTGGGTTGTTTTTTATGTTTTGTGAGTGATCCGAGTGAATTTTGAAAAACTGCTTTTTGGAATTTTTCAAATTTTCTTCAAGTGAAAATTAAAAATTTTATGACAAAACGCTGATTTCGAAAAAAAATTAAATTTTTCGAAAAAAAAAAGAAAATATTTCTTATGTCCAAACGGGCTCTAAGTTTCGTGGGGTTTCTCGCTAGGACTCCAAAGGGACTAGTATCACGAAGGGGTTCAAAAAAAATTTTTGTAGCTAGTGGAAATTAAACTTACGACCTTATAAAGATTTTGAACCTCTTTGACCACTAAACTACACTTTTGAGTTGTGTTAAGGGGGTTCAAAACATAATATATAGAAGTAAAAAACAGATTTTGTCTTATATATACAGTGTAATTTAGTACATAAGACACAATTTACAACAGACTAAGCCAGACTGCAGTTAGGTTTTCGATCAAATCACTACAACCAAGTTATCATGATCAAGAACATACCGCTATCCGACTAAAAAAATTCGTCATGCGGAGACGATTGTCATGAGTGACTTGCAAATCAATATGGGCAGTTTGGCCGAGGTCGATCAGTGATCAACAGAACGAGCCATTGAGTGCTTCATCGGGGTCGAGGTCGAGCGGCATAGATAGAAGTAATGGCTAGTTTTGCTTTGGGATCTTCAGATGGAATATTCTATTGAATATTCTCTTTGTTTGTACTTTTTAAGGTTCTTTGGGAATATACCATATAAATAGTATGAGAGATAAGGCAAAAGACATATAATATTCCATATGATAAGAACTCTTTTGAAAAACAAGCTATCTAAATAAATACAAAGAACAACTTTCTGAAGAGATTTGACCTTTTGGAGTATCCATTGTCATTTCCACTAGATTCGAGAAAGTACTCACTATTTTTGTTATATTCTTGTAATTCATCATTGTCAGAGGAAGAAATCATCCAACTCATTCAATATTGGGTGGATTTGTCTCTTTATTTATATTTAGCGTCATTTATTACTATTTAACACCTGATACCTCTAACATATTATTACATTCGATGCATTTAATGCTTACGAATTAAATCCGTTTCATCACTGCCCACTTTCTTTTCACATCATTGATCTAAGATCTGTAGTTACTAGCTTTAACTAGGATTAGCTCCCTTTAATAACTGATTAATTAATTTATCCAAAGATTATCATTTTTTGGTCAAATAAAGATGTGTAAAGTTTTACTAGATGTAGAATTTTGGGACACTGGCTGGACGATACATAAATGGTCTAACTGTGTGGGAATACCCAGAAGGATGATTATAGCTGAACTTCATACCCGATTTTCCATCTAGTATATGTGTGCAGTGTTCATGGAAGCTGCTAATGGATCTCGCAAGGCATGCATCCCGACGATCACTCTCTGGCATTGTCTCTGCTACTCTGTAAATGCCCCTTGAGTTTGTGAATGCTTGATAATTTAGAACTTCCCTAAATTTATCGCCCGTTTGGCCAAGCTGTAAAAATCTAACTTATTTTGAGAAGTGTTTTTATTTAAAGTGCTATTCTCAAAAGTGCTTTTATTTAAAGTGCTTTTCTCAAAAGTGTTTTTGGTGAGAAGCAGTTTGTATTTGGCTAATTAGTTTGAAAAGTACTTCTGAATAGCAATTAGTGTTTGGCCAAACTTTAAAAAACTGCTTCTAAGTGTATTTTTCTCAAAAGTGCTTCTCAAAAAAGTGCTTTTGGAGTGGAGAGAAGCTACTTTTTTCTACTTCTCCTCAAAAGCACTTTTTTTCCTTCCAAAAACTTGGCCAAACACCTTAATTTTTGGCCAAAAATACTTTTGGCAAAAAAAAAAGAAAACACTTTTGATCAAAAAGAAGCTTGGCCAAACAAGCTATTAGTTATACAAAGAACAGTAACCTCAGCACCTGCTACTAAAAACAAGATGAACACCAAAAATATGCATCTATTTATTGGGTACCTATATGCTATAGCGCCACAGCTTTGTACTAGATAGTGTTTTATTGAGTCATTGACCCAACATCAATGCTAGAAATCACCTTAACCAGCAGAAAATTTATATTATTATTCTCCTTTTATATTTCTCACTAAGAACGTGCAATAAACTTTCAGAATTCGTTTTTTTGGTATCTTCAATAGTCCAAGTCTTATTTTTTATCTTTCTCATAAGAAAGCGGGTACTACATTCTTATATTCTCTTCTTGATTTCTAAAAAAAAAGTTTAAGTTCTCGATAAGTTATATTGTTCTCTATAGAAAAAAAAAGAGTTTTATTTTTTTTATAAAAAACAAGAGTTGAAGAGTACCGTTGAATAAAACTATATTGCGCATTCTTTTCTTTTTTTCCTTTTTTTCCCCTCAGGTTTCAAGCATTTCAAGAAGTATATTAGAACATCAAAAATTATTTTGATATCAAGTTATAAAGTTCTTGAATAAGGTTTAATTATCTAAGAACAACAATATCTTAGGAGAGATTAAATTATTTATAAAAGAAACTATTAGCAACATTACATCTTAAAAAGATAGAAAAATAGACTTCCATTAAAAATATAGATGAATTTTTTTTCCCTTCTGATAGGCCCCAGATTAAAAAGTGGCTTTAGACCACTAATCTTCTTGGGCTCCCCCTAGTTCCACATGCTTGGAATTTATTCCTTTAAGCCGTAAAAGAAAAACTTTTGACCTTGAGTTTTCAGATTCTCACTATGAACCAAGCAAAACACTGATAATAGAAAGATCAAGCAATGAAAGAAATAAATTAAAAGAACCTGAAAATGTCTACTCCTAATAGAGAACTAATTTTATCTGACAATGAAAAAGAACCAACAATGACACACATAAGGTCACCAGAGGAGCCGAAGTTAAATCCTAAAAGAAATATTGTGGAACACTATTCCTCTATAACACAATTCCACCCAATTTTGTTAGAGTTATACTACTCTATTTTATATACTATGCTTTATAAAAATGCACTGGAACCATCATACTGGACGAAGAGTCAGACCAAAGGGCATGAAATACGTAGACAAAATGCCGATGCGGAAGTGATGTAAAGACTTAAAAAAAGTTACCTTTGCTCCTTGCTCTTTGAATTATCTCCCTGCAAAAATAATTCTTAGAAAGAATGGAACCGATGCCACTGAAATGTTTCTGATTCTTTTGGGATACACTATTTTTGAATCTGACGTTTGACAAACAAGCAATACTGAAAGGCTTTTACTAAAGCTGGGATATATAGTTACAAGAGAAGGCCTAAATAGAAGTAATCTTATAGTAGCACTGTCACAGTATCGTTGAATACTAGGTATTAGGGAAGAATACACAACTTTTTGAACAAAACAAAAAACTAAATCAGAGAAACATCAGCGTTATAGTTTAGTTTGATCTTCTCTTCACCTCTTCCCAACTCTTGGAACCTTTCCAGCCATGATGTTCTCAAGGTTTCTAAGCCTCATCTCAAGTTTCAGAAGATCAGTCATTTCATATCTTGTGCTCCTTTTCTCATGGTTGTCAATATTTTCCATCTGCATATTTCCTTCAGTCCTATTGATACCATTTGTACTTACCTTAGGTGCTTCCACTGAATCATTGCTCATCTGCAAACTCATTTTAACAGGACTAGTACTCGAAAATTCTGTATATTTGCCACAGCTCCTATTTACATTTGCAAGTTCTAAACTGTGAGACAAGTTGAGCTTACAGCCACCTTTTTTGCTCAATGGTTTTGACTCCATTAGCGTCTCCCTTTCTCTGGCAGTTTCATCATTAGAAGCGGAAGAAGATTGGCTTTGGATGCTAGCTAGGGGTGCTTGATTACCAGGTACAGTAATCTCTTTCTTCACGAGCCTCCTTTTGTTTAAAGATTCTGCAATCGGTAAATTGTCATCATCATCTGATGATTCTACAACTCTCATTTCACAATCTTGAATATTGCCATCTGTTCTAACCTCATCAAATTTCTGTGCAAATTCACAACATACGGAGGCATTCCTCATTTTATAGCTTTCCCACGACAGTCTTGGTATCCTTTGGTGAGTTCTAGACCGTTGTCCTTTGGTTACATGCTTAACTGCATCTTCAAGTGCAAATTTGTTGTTCTTCCACCACTCCAAGTATCGTTTGGTAACATCTGACTCAAAGAGCCTAGAAGGTATATAGAGTTCGGCATCTTTAATTGGTCTACTATAATTGCTCCAAGCAATTTTTGGGTTATCACTAGCATGATTCACACAAACTGGCACGTCTTGATCAAATCCAAATTGCATTGATACTCTATGTGGATTATACTGTTCTACACAATCCACTCCAACTAGTTCAGAAGCTCGAATAAATCGAGCAAAAACCAAGATTTCTCTTCCCATCTTTGGTCCAACCACCACATATTCCTCCTTTTTCTTGTAAAATTTGTTGATGTCCCAATTCTTCACTGTATCAATAGCATAAGGACGCCACAGAAACAATTCTGCTGCAGAATCTATTGCACTCCTAGGATCCACACAATTTAGTTTTTTCACATTATGCCATCTAGCCAATCTTGGCTCCCCGGAACAGATGAAACTAGGCTTAGGCTGCAAATTGGAAAATCTCTCCCAAGCCCATAACTGAACAAATTGAAGAGGAGCCCTAAAGAGAGGATCTGACTCATCTTGGTTACACCTAGAACTAGATGAAGATATAATAATTTGTTTAAGCAACCTTAAATCCCTATAGATGCTAGAAAGAACAGCAGGGGCAAGTGCTATTGGTATACCTTGAGAAAGATAAATTGCAATAGGGAAAAGAGCTCTATCCACAGTTTGATAACTTTTAGAAGGGAGCACATACCTTGACAACCAAAGGGTCAAAAATGCAACATGCTCCAAATGGTCACCTTTTCCTGCAAAATATTCCATCCAGGCATGGTGAGTAACATTCCTTGCTCTAACAGTCTTATGAGCTTCGCAAAGAGTTTTTTCAACTGCAACAGAATCTTTGGCCTTAACAGGTTTCAAGACACAGTGGCCCAAAACAGAGTAACCACCCAAAACTACCATATCCTCCAAAGTAACAGTTGCTTCTCCCCAAGGTAAAATGAATGTGTTTGTCTCCAAACACCATCTCTCAACAAGAGCAATAATCAAATCATTGTGCCTATGAATCTTGAACGTGGAAGCTATAACAGCTTCAAAGATTCCATCTTTCTNAGGTGAATGTCTATATTCTAGACAGGTTTTAGGGTTTGTGTGATGACCCAAAAGGTCATCACTTGCTTTTAAATTGAATTCTGTGTTTTCGAGGCCTTTGCAAACCTCATTTAGCATCACCTCAATTTGCGTGCGCAGTCCGAGCGCGTAGCCTGAAAGCCTAAATATGAAAATCTATAAAAGAAATGATGAATTTTGACTATAAAATGAGTTAATTTGACTTCGGTCAATGTTTTGGGTAAACGGACCCGGACCCGTGATTTGACGGTCCCGGAGGGTCCGTAGGAAAATATGGGACTTGGGCGTATGCCCGGAATCGAATTCCGAGGTCCCAAACCCGAGAAATGAATTTTTAAAGAAAAATTATTTTCTGAAATTGTTTAAAGGAATTTGAAATGAATTTTGACGAGGACATGTTGGTACCAGGCCCGTATTTTGGTTACGACGCCCGGTACAGGTCTTATATGTGATTTAAGATAACTCTGTGAAGTTTGGTAAGAAACGGAGTCCGTTTGACGTGATTCGGACCTTAATTGGAAAGTTTGGTGTTTAAAGAAGTTTTGAGAAATTTCATTGATATTGAGGTTTAATTCGATATTTTTAATGTTATTTTGGAGATTTGAGTACATGAATAAGTCCGTAGGATGTTTTTGAAGTTGTGTATATATTTGATTTGGAGCCCCGAGAGCTCGGGTGAGTTTTGGATAGGCCACGGGGTGCATTTTAAACTTTGAAAAGTTGTAGAATTTTAGCTGGTGTGCCCAAGCCTGCAGGCTTTGCATTTGCGAAGCCTGGCTCGCAAATGCGAAACCAGCCGAGGCCTGCCTTGGCTCGCAAATGCAAGATTTTCTTCGCAAATGCGAAGATTTGCCAATTGGCCAGTGATTGCAAATGCGACCTATGTATCGCAAATGCGAAGTTGCAAATGCGACACTACTTTCGCAAATGCGAAAGTTCAGCATTCTGAAGGGTTCGCAAATGCAAACCTTGTTTCGCATTTCCCAGCTTAACAGTTGTTCGCATTTTTCATACCTGCGACCTGCAACTTTATACTTAAACGATTTTAAACCCATTTTTCATATCCTCTCAAAACACAAACACACTAGAACGATTTTTCAAAGCCTTACTTCTCCAAATTAATTGTAAGTCGTTTTTAACTAGTTTCCTTCAATCATTAACATCTTTTAACATGATTTCAACTTAAAATCAATGATTTTCATTGAGAAAATTGGATGTTTTGGGTAGAACCTAGGTTTTTCAAAAATTGGGGATTTGGACCTCGATTTGAGGTCTGATTTCAAAATAAATTATATATTTGGATTCGCGGGGGAATGGGTAATCGGGTTTGGTTCGAACATCGAGTTTTGACTATGTGGGCCCGGGGGCGATTTTTGACTTTTTGGGCAAAACTTTGGGAATTTCATTTTCATGCATTCAAATTGATTCTCTTAGCGTTTATTGATGTAATTAAGCAACTCGTGACTAGATACGAGCGAATTGACGGTGGAATCGAGGGGTAAAGCTATAATTGAAACTTGAGTTATGTTCGAAGCATCGAGGTAAGTGTTTGGTCTAACCTTAGCTTAAGGGATTAGAAGTTGTGTCTTGTTTGCTATTTGCTTCTTGTTGAGTATGATATATAGGCACTGTGACGAGTATCTATACGTTGGTGTCGAGCATGACCGTGAGTCTTAAATTGCAACTTGTTGTGTTCTTAAATGATATTATGGATGTTTCAATTGATGACTCTTGATATTGTGCAAGGATTAAGTTTGTTTTCGTGGGAATTACTAAATTTGAGTATTGGTGATAACAGAAATGGTTAGATGTTGGATTAAGATTGGTTATAGCTGTTTCTCCCTTGCCGGGACATATTTATTTATGTTGTCATTCCCTTGCCGGGATAGTGTAGTTCGTTATTGATCCCTTGCCGGGACTATTGTTATGATTATTGTTGACTGTATATATGGATCGGGTTGCACGCCGCAACATTATTATATATGAATCGGGTTGCACGCTGCAACAACATTATTATATATGGATCGGGTTGCACGCCGCAATAATGTTATATTGGATCGGATTGCACACCGCAACAAATATTATATTGGATCGGGTTGCACGCCGCAGCAGTGATATAAATGGACCGGGTTGCACGCCGCAACAGTGTTAATTGATAAGGGATCAGGTTGCGCGCCGCAAGAGTATTATTATTGTTTTGTTGTAGTTCTTGAATTGTTCTCTCATATTTTTCTTAAGTTTCTGCTGAATTTGATATTTCCCCGTAGCATGTACCCCCTCCCATTTAAATTGTTTATTCCTGTTTATTTTTCGTTGTATATCATATAACTGCACATGTTTATTTGGAGTCTGGTCCTAGCCTCGTCACTACCTCGCCGGGATTAGGCCAGGTACTTACCAGCACATGGGGTCGGTTGTGTTGATGCTACACTCTGAACTATGTGCAGATACCGGATCAACATTTGGACAGTAGCACTTGGAGAGCCATCCTTTAGTCCACTCAGAGATCCTGAGGTAGTCCTGCAGGCATCCGCAGGCCCGGCGTTCTCTTCTATCTACTTATATGTTCTGTTTTCACTTGTCTCCGAGACAGACTGTATTTCCTTGTTCAGATGTTTGTATGTAGTTTTCATAGATAGTCTGTGGATATTGTGACACCGGTTTTTGGGTAGAGACGCACGTTGGCATTTTCGTACTGATTTTGGTATTATATTAGTCTAAGTCTTCGGCTTAATTTCATCTTTCTCTATTATTTAAACGATGATCACCTGTTAATTCAATTCGTTAAAAGGAGATAAAAATGAAAGTAATTGAAATTTTTATATTTCGTGGCTTGCCTGGCTTCTTCAAGTAGGCGCCATCACGACTCCCGAGGATAGAAAATCCGGGTCGTGAAAAGTTGGTATCAGAGCTCTAGGTTACATAGGTCTCACAATTCACGGGCAAGCTTAGTAGAGTTTGAGAGATCGGTACAGAGACATCTATATTTATCCCCCAGAGGCTACAGAGTTAGGAAAAACTTCACATTTCTTTCTTGTAGTGCGGTTTTGTTTCTCAATGCTAATTGAATTTCTACTCTATTCTTTCGCAGATGGCGAAAACACGCGCTTCCTTATCTACCGTTCAGCAGCCCGAGCCCCTATCAGTAACTCCCACGAGGGGCAGAGGGCGAGGCTGAGGCCGTGCTAGAGGCCGAGGTAGGGGCATAGCTCAGCCCCGAGCAGTAGCACCAGTGGCGGAGCCTTAAGTTGACTTTGATGATGAAGTTCCGGCCCCAGCAGTTCCGGTGGGCAAAGCTCAGGTCCCTGAGGGGTTTATTGCCACCCCAGTTCTTTAGGATGCTCTGGTCTGTCTAGTGGGCCTTATGGAGAGTGTCACCCGAGCGACTCCTGCTACTCGCACTCTGGAGCAGGTAGCTCCCCTTATTTAGACTCCAGCAGTTCAGCCAGTTGGAGCAATTCAGCCGGGTGTGGTAGCTCAGGCCGGTGATAGAGCAGCTACGTCTGCCGATGCTTTGTGGAGGCTGGATAGGTTCACCAAGCTCTTCACTACCACTTTCAGCGGTGCATCTACTGAGGATCCCCATGATTATTTAGATAACTGCCATGAGGTTCTTATGAACATGGGGATAGTTGAGACCAATAGGGTCAATGTTGCCACTTTTCGCTTATCTGGATCCGCCAAGACTTGGTGGAGAGATTATTGCTTGGCTAGACCAGCCGGATCGCCAGCCTTGACTAGGGAGCAGTTTGCACAGCTATTTCTGGAGAAGTTTCTCCCCATTACTCAGAGAGAGGCCTACCGGAGGCAGTTTGAGCGTCTCCAGCAGGGTTCTATGACTGTTACCCAGTATGAGACCAGATTCATCGACTTGGCTCGTCATGCTTTTGTCATACTCCCCACCGAGATATAGAAGGTGAGGAGGTTTATTAGCGGTTTTATTTAGCCGATTCATCTTCAGATGGATAGGGAGGCTGAGAGTGAGATTACCTTCCAGGAGGCTGCCAATGTGGCCAGGAGAGTGGAGATGGTTCTATCGCAAGGAGGTGGTCATGGGTCGAATAAGAGGCCCCATCATTCAGGCAGATTCAGTGGTACCTCGTTTGGAGACAGGGATTCGTATGGTAGAGGCCATCCTTTTAGGCCCTTTCAGTCAGCACTTCAGGTTTCTCACGGTGCTTCAGATGTCCGTGGTTCTCACATGCAGTATTCTGATCAATAGCTCTACAGTGCACTACCAGCTCCTATCGGTGCACCGCCACTCTAGAGTTTTCGGGGTGGTTATTCAGGTCGCCAGGGTCAGTCTTAGTTTCCTCAACCGTAGCACTCAGGTGGATGCGATGAGTGTGGTGAGTATGGTCATATCAGGAGGGCTTGTTCGAGGTTGGTAGGTACTTAGTCGAAGCAGTAGGGTTCCCGTGCTATGGTTCAGGCACCAGGTATTCTACAACCCGCCCAGCCAGCTAGAGGTGGGGGTAGAGGTTCTAAAGGTGGAGGTAGAGGTGCTAGAGGTAGAGCTCAGACCGCTAGAGGTAGAGGCCAGCCAACAGTAGGCCGTCCCAAAGATGTAGTTCAGGGTGATGGGGCCCAACCCCGATGTTATGCTCTTTCATCCAGGCCCGAGGCTGAGGCTTTAGATGCGGTTATCACAGGTACTGTTCTGGTTTGTCATAGAGATGCTTTAGTGTTATTTGATCCAGGGTCTACTTACTCATACATGTCATCTTATTTTGCATCGTATCTGGTCATGCCTAATGATGCATTGAGTGTTCCTGTTTATGTGTCTACACCGGTAGGTGATTCTATTGTGGTAAATCGATTCCATCATTCTTGTATAGTTATGATTGGGGGTCTTGAGACTCGAGTAGATTTGTTGCTTCAGGACATGGTCAATTTTGATGTTATATTGGGAATGGACTGGTTATAACCTTACCATGCTATCTTGGACTGTCATGCCAAGATTGTGACCTTAGCCTTACCGGGTCTACCTCGTTTAGAGTAGAGAGGGACTCCTAGTCATTCTACTCGTAATGTTATCTCTTATGTGAAGGCTCAGTGTATGGTCGAGAAGGGGTATTTGGCCTATTTGGCATATGTTTGTGATTTTAACGCCGAGGTTCCTTCTATTGATTCGGTGCCCGTTGTTTGTGAGTTTCCTAAGGTATTCCCTTCAGACCTGTCGGGTATGTCACCCGATAGGGATATTAACTTTTGCATTGATTTGGCTCCGGGCAGTCAGCCCGTTTCTATCCCGCCGTATCGTATGGCCCCGCCAGAGTTGAAAGAGTTGAAGGAGCAGTTGCAAGACTTGCTTGAGAAGGGTTTCATTAGACCCAGTGTTTTGCCTTGGGGTACGTCGGTGTTGTTCGTTAAGAAGAAGAATGGGTCGATGAGAATGTATATTGATTACCGGCAGTTGAACAAGGTTACAATCAAGAATAAGTATCCATTGCCGATGATTGATGATTTGTTTGATCAGCTTTAGGGTGCCAAGGTATTTTCGAAGATTGACTTGAGATATGGCTACCATCAGTTGAGGATTAGGGCATATGATGTCCCTAACACAACTTTCCGCACCCGGTACGGGCATTATAAGTTCTTGGTTATGTCATTCGGGTTGACAAATGCCCCAGCAGCTTTTATGGATTTAATGAACCGAGTTTTCAATCCTTATTTGGATTCATTCGTGATAGTCTTTACTGATGATATTTTGATTTATTCCCGCAGCCGGGAGGAGCATGAGCAACATCTCAGAGTGGTTCTTTAGACCTTGAGGGATAGTCAGTTTTATGCTAAGTTCTCGAAGTGTGAGTTCTGGTTGAGTTCAGTTGCATTCCTGGGTCATGTTGTGTCAGCAGAGGGTATTCAGGTTGATCCGAAGAAGATTGAGGATGTCAAGAACTAGCCTAGACTAGCATCAGCTATAGAGATTCAGAGTTTCTTGGGATTGGCAGGCTACTATCGTTGGTTCGTGGAGGAGTTCTCATCTATCGCAGCCCCGATGA